TCTGAGAATTAGGACTTTTTTTTTTAAGAGGTTTTTGCTGTAGGGTGTGTGTGCTTGCTGGAGAGACAGAAAGTGAGAAGTCACCCCCTGGGGGGATGAACATGCAGCAATCCCTTCTCCATTCTTCTCTCAGTATTTTGGGCACACACACATGCCCAATGTGACTTTTAAGCCACTGGGTCCAGGACTCAAATCATGGCCGACTACATGGGAGTCCAGCAACGTAACCATCACGCCACCTGCTGGTCCTGAATATTAGACTTTCTAACACTTCCCAGAAGACACCAGTGCAGTTAGTCCGTGGACTATAAGTTGAGCAGCTCTGTTTGCAAGAACAGAGATACTATAAAGCTCAAAAGCTCACGTCCCTTCCTGAAGTCTACAAAACTGTAATAAAGAATTCAATTGTCCTGTATGCTCTGACTGAGAGCCAGGAGACCCCTTGTCACCTTCCATCACATCCCCTTCTCCCCCACCACCTCTTTTCCTGCCCTTTTGCAAGTCCCCTACTGCCCCTCCCTGGGACCATGAAACATTACCTTCTGCTGGATTCATTACCGCATCGTGGAGCAGGGTGGCCATACTCCCAGCTATCCCTGCAAAACAAACTCCAGAAAATTACCCTCTGGAACCAGGTGTTCTGAGGAAGTTCCTGGAACCTAAAGTCAGAGGGAACGCTAGGCCTAGCTTTCTGAAAAGCAAAACTCATCCCCTGATCCATCCAGGTGAGTGCCACCTCTTAAAACCCTCCTGTGATCATGGGTACTGGAGAACAAGGAGGAAGACTAACAGAGACGTAGTTCCTCCCACAGGAATCCTGCAGAAAGCTTCCTCGTTTTCTTTCTAGTCCTCCCTGGGAAAAGGCTAGACTTAGGAACATCAGATGATATCTAGAAAACACACTTGGTTTTTCCCACTGTTTAGATTTTAATGCTCTCTCATCCCTTGCTTTTATTTACAGATTAACTCACTCTGCCCTTAAGCCAAGGCAATCAAAGGAGATAATTTCATGTATGCAGCTGAGGGGGGGAGGGGAGCCAGAAAAGAAATCCTCAAGAAAATTCCTTAGTTAACATCCAGGCAGATACAACAAATCGGGCAACCAGAAGAGGAGGCCAGGAAGAGCTCCTCCCGTAGCTTTCCAGGATAACTGCAAAGCTCAGCCTCCTCTCAGGCAGGAATGAATGACCCCCATCCAAAGTTCTCACAAGGCCTGGCTTCAAGAACCAGGAACTTCAAACGCCTGAATCGGACCTGAAATTTTGCTTTTGACTTCACATTTCTTCCCTCTGTCGTGACACTATCTGGTAATTAAGATTACCACTGGAAGGTGGGAGGAATAAGAAATTCCAGGACCAGCTTCTGAAAGGCTTATACTCTCCCCCTTCTGCTGTATACATTCTCAGAAGTACTCCCAGAGAGGTCACAGCGCACCCATAGCACACACCACTATATCCCAGGAAGTGTGCTGAGCGGAAATCAGTGTACACTGGGTTTTCTCAAACCCCCTTTAAGAAGCTAAACCATTATGTAAAGCATGCTCAGCAAAACGAGGGCCCCCATGTCATGGATTGAGAGAGAGCACCAGGGCATGGCTCTTCAGGATAGTCTCAATACATGAAACTAATGGCCAATTTTTAAAAAGGGGAATAAGGGACCAGCAGATGGTGTAATGGTTATGTCTCTGGACTCCCATGTAGACAACCATGGTTTAAGTCTCAGACCTGGCGGTTGGAAACTCACACCAGGTGCATGTGCATGCATGCCCAAAATCCTGAGAGGAGACTAGAGGAGAAGGGACTGCAGTATGGCCATGCCCTGCAGGGGAGAGGGGAGTCGTCTCACTTTCTATCTCTCTGTCTCTGTGTCTCCTGTAAGTATAAGCACCCTACAGCAAAAACTTCTCTCTAAAAAAAAAGGGGGGGGGGGACAATCACTTGTAAATCAGCCAGCCTGTATTATCAAGGCTTGTTGGCTTGTTGATGGGAGGGAAGCTTTTTGGCTTTCTCGGAGTAGAACATAAAGATAATTGGGGCCAGCCCATGGCTTGGTGTTAGGGTGGTTGGATTCCACATGGTCAACTGAGTGGTTAATGCCCAGTACTCAGCAACTTAAGAAACATGCTGGGCGCTTGTGTGTGCACGCCTAAAATCCCAAAAGGAGGGAGAAATCGAGGAAAAGGTATTGCCCTATGGAGAATGTTTTATCACTTTTCCTCTCCCTCTCTCTCTTTCTCTCTTCCTCACTCCCTCATCTCCTATCACCAGCACACATACCCTCTAGCAAATTAAAAAAAAAAAAAAAAAACCTAAGTAAGACAGAGAGAAATGGAAAAATTATTGCTGGTCATATCCACTTCTCTGTTGTTGAAAAATTAATTTTGTCAAAATAAGTACATCTTAGGATGCTATCATATTCCCATTCCATACCCAATCAATAATAACAACAACAACAAAAAACAGTAAAAGCCAGCCCCAGCCAACACCCTGGCTCAGCCTGGCCTAGTAGCACATCCCTTACATAAGAGCTGCCCACCAACTCCCACCCCTCCACCCACCTCTCCCTCAAAATAAAAATACAACTAGTTCAGCCCTTGCTCCAGAGAGATGCAACTCAGACAAACGGAAGAGAACGGGGATAACACTCCCGAATCCCCAGAAGCTTAAGGTGAGAAAGGCCGTCTGCACTGGCGCAAGTCCTTTGTCAGCCATAAAACGTCTTGACCTTTTAAAGCTTAGACAGATCTTGGCGTTGTAGAGACCTGTTGTACCAGTTTTTAAATAGTCTCAAAGAAGCTGTCCAGATAACTTTTCTTTTGAATCCAGCATTCAAAAGTTTTGTTTCTATTCAAGGTTTGTTCTAGGTCTGATCATTTAATTGCTTTTCAATGTTTAAAAAAAAAACAAAAAACAAAAAAACCCACGCAACAACAAAAACTGAAACAACCTCTGTCACCGATTTTCCCCAAGCTTCCGAAAGCGAAGGAGGAAAACCAGAAAAAGCATGTGTGTGTCTGTGTGCGCGCGTGTGTGTGCATGTGCATGCGCATGTCTGGGTGTGTGTGCACACACGACTCTAGAGTTCTTTATTCGTGAGCAAGCGTGCCGAAGACGAGGCGTAAGGCTGCTGGTCACAGGCAAAGAACAGCCTGGGGAAGGATGTGTTGAAGAAGAGAATTCTCTAACTCCAGACAAATGCTTTCAAAATACCGTTGGCTAGGTGGCTGTTTCCTTGGTGGTTGAAAACGTCATTTAAAGTCCTTTTCATGTTTTCATAGCAGGCAAAATACATGGCGTGGGCTGGCCCTGCACCCATCACCATCACGTTAAGGCCACGCAAGGGCCTCCAGACGCCTTCAGTCTGTATGATTTTCTTGAGAGCTCCATAGATACTTGTGTACTGGGCTTTGGGATCTGGATTCAAACTCTGCATTCTTGTCTGTGGGAGAGTGAGAAAAGAAAACAAACACGTGGGAGTTAATGAGGATGGTAAAGAGAGAAAAGAAGACCCAGAGAGAGAGGAGTGAGAAAAAAAAAACAGTTCATGTTCAAAGTCTCGCACAATTTCTTGGTGATGGAAACATATTCATGCATTCCCTCCAAGGGTACTCTCTGCGCATACACATTTATATAGATTTCATTTGCCCCGGAAGGGAGAAAAGGATAGGGAGCTGGGTGTGGAGTGAGAAGTCCCCACCCTATCACCGGTAAGCTGTGGTGGCCTCTGAGGAACACTTTAACCTCTCTTGGCCTTGGGACCTCCAATAAAAAGAAAAGGGTTGATGGGGGTTAGATAGTGGTGCAGCAGTAAGACACAAGAGGCATTGAGAGGCAACAGGTTCAAGTCCGGATACGTCCCAGAATATGCCAGAGATGCACACGCCCATGATTTGGACTTGCTGAGGCTGAGGGTGGATCACAGCTTGGGGACCCTGCTGGGGGTGCACACGTACACTCACGCTACCTCTCCCACTCATGCAAGGAAGGAAGGGAGGGAGGAAGGAAGAAGGAAAAAATTATTTTTTAATAAAAAGAGTACACAATGCAAAGATCTCATTTTAGGAAAAAGGACGCAAAACTGCTCCCACAGGAACAACAGAGGTTCTTCAGCGCAGAATTATAAGAGAGAGTTAAAACTGTCCAAGTTTTTAAGCAAGTAACATCTTGTATTTCACCTGGCTTTTTCTTACTACTGTCCCTGATAAAAAGCAAGGGCATAATGCAGCAGCAGTCTGTTACCATTCAAGGGGGGTCCGCTGCCCACAGGGTAGGATCCCCAATCATCTTACCACAGAGACTCCAAGCAAGAGTTTTATTACAGGCCAGTCAGCAAGGAGGCAGGAATGTCACAACTCAGGTGTTAACAGCTCCTGTCTCAAATTTGCTTCCCCAGTGTAAGAAGGCTGGGTCTTTTATAGAGAAATAGTACCCACCCAAGTCCTCCTATTGGTCCATTTTTATGCAAATGAAGGATTAAAAATTGGGCAGTTCTGATTGGTCATTTTGTGGCAGGCAGCATTTTCCCTCATCCCTGCAGGGAGGCCCTACTTTAGGTCACTCAGAATTTTCAGTGCACACATCCTGCAAGCAAATTTCCAAAACAGTAGTTAGGACTAGGGTTTTCTTATCTGAGCTATCTCATCGAGTCCTCTAGCCTTCACTTCCCCCATGGCCTTGAAATACTTTTCACAGGTTCTAGCCAGTTACACAACAAGGACATCAAGAACCCAGGCTTTAGGGTCAGAGAGAACTGGGACTGAATTCAGATCTTATTCATGGTATAACCCTGGGAAGTTTAGTCAATCTTTTTTAGCTTGAGTTTTCTTACTCGAGACAGTGGTTAAGAAAATTCAAGATAACCAACGTCTATTGCCATATTGTCCGTAATAAAAAAGAATCTGGGGAACCAGCAGTTGGCGTGATGGCTATGTCGCTGGACTCCCACGTAGTCGACCGCGGTTCGTGTCCCGGACCCGGTGGCTTAAAACTCACGCCGGGCGCGTGTGCGTGCGTGCCCAAGATCCCGAGAGGAGAATGGAGGAGAGGGGATTGCGGCGTGACCATCCCCCCTGGGGGGTGATTTCTCGCTTTCTGTCTCTATGTCTCTCTCTGTCTGTCTGGCGAGCGCACGCGCCCTACAGTGAAAAATCTCTCCAAAAAAAAAAAAAAAGAATCTGTCAAGGGGCTACAGGAAGCCCCTATATTGGGAGACTAAGTAGTAAGGTTTAGTTTATGACCTTCCAGTGTTCTAAGCCCCATGGAGAAGGGATTATGTCTGTGTGACAATACCTAGTAAGACATGCTAATCCCGGAGCCCAATACACAGTTGTCAGATGAGCGAATGGACGAACACACAAATGTTATGGTTCAGATTACTCTTTATCTAGATACTTCCCTATCAGTAGAGAGTCCGCGTTCCACTGCTTTTTCAAGCCCGGGTGTAATCTGAACCATAACAGAGCAGGGGTAGCTTGTCCCTGGGGGGCCTCATAGGGGCCTGTGGACAAAGGGAGGCTCCTGCCAGTCCTGTTCCAGGGGAGAGACCCCCATACCTTGGGGTAAGGGCTGTCAGTGCATCTTCTTGAGGGATAAAGCTCTGGCCCAAGCCTGGGTCACCTCATTCTCTGCGGTTTCCAGCCAGGGGCAGGATCCTGCTAGAGTCTGCAAGGCCAGCCTATGGCTGAAGGCTTCTTTGGGTCCTGGCAGACAGAAACCAAATGGTTCCAGGCAAGCAAGAGTGATGAGAAAACAGAGGACCAGGAGTAACCCACAGAGACGCCATGCTCTAGACCTTGGGTGGTGCTGGCTCTGACTCTGGCCAGGTGGGCCTAGCTAAGGCATCTCATCTCTCCAATCCCCAGGGGAGGACCAGGGCAGTGGCTGATTACCAGAATCGCCCGGGAAATGTTTAAAACTATCCATCCATAGGTACCACCCGAATGCACATGATGCAAAACTTTTGCTTTAATTCCCCGGATGATCCCACTTGTCACTCAGTTTGGAGAACCACTTAGTGACCACGGCAGCCCCTTCCAGCCCCAGCACTTTCTCATAACGTCCTCCTTCCAGTCTGGGCAGTGAGATGCTCCTCTAGTTATGTTAAGGAGTAGGAGGGGAGGGTGCTGGACACAGAGGGGGGCAGGGAAGGAAGCAGCGGGGTCCATGGTGCCTGGGGTTTTAGAGCCTGAATTCCAGCTCTGGGACCTGGAGCAGGTTCCTTAACCTTGGGGTGTGATATCTTCCTAGGTAATAACCCTCCAGAGTGCTGCTGGGAAACACCTGACCCAGGCTGGCAACCAACAATTACCCTCCCACCCCACGCCCCCTCTAAGCAGTAACGTCATTAGAAGGGTCTGCCCTTTGCAAACCTGTTTACCTCGGTCAGCTGAAGACCAGCGGCACACCAAGACTTAACGGGGGGATTGGGATTCATATTCACTCCCCTCCCTTTTTTAAAATAAGGGGCAGGGCACTTGAAGTAAAGATACCGAACCAAAATATACCACGCAAATATGAAAAAGAAAAGGACAACGGGGAGTTCCAGTGCTTTCAGTGGCCTCATCTATCCTCAGGAAAGCCATATTTATTTATTTATTTATTTATTTATTTATTTGTATCTATCTATCTATCTACCTACCTATCATCTATTTATTTAATTTAACTATAGGGCACTCACTGGAGACAGAAAGAGAGAACCGCTCCCTTTCCCCAAGAGGGGATGGCCATGCTGTAGTCCCTTCTCCTCCACTTTCCTCTCAGGATTTTGGGCACACATGCACATGTGCCCAGTGTGATTTTTAAGCTGCCAGGTCTAGGACTTGAACTGTGTGGTCAGCCATGTGGGATCCAGCCACCTTAACTTCCATGCCATCTGCTGACCCTCAGACCCGTTTAAGGACACACACCCGGGACAGAGGGGAGCGGCCCGGTTCTCTGCTAGGCCCAGCACGATCACAGTGGCCAGATTTCAGGCCAGAACCTGTGTGGGTCTGCAGCGCCTTCCTTTCTTCCACCTGCCTGCACAAAGTGCCTGCGTGGAAAGGAAGAGACAGTGGGGAGAAGGACAGCGTGCAGTCGGAGGCCAATGGTACAGACCACCAGGGTGCCTGCACAGGGTGCAGAGAAGGCGCCAGGAGCCACCAGCCCCTTACCCGCCTCAGAATAGAGACCCGAGGCAGGGTAAGAAGTGAGGTAGAAGAGGCTGGAGCAGAGAGAAGGTAATCAATTAAGTCTCCTTCCCCCCACTCCCCAGAGACTTTCATGTCAAAATGAGGACTGGGCACCTTCTATGTACCCGTGAACCAGAAAAGGAGAAGATGTCAAGGAGTGAGTGGAAGCAACTCTGGGTCTGTCTCCAGGTGAAGGGAGAAGCCAAGCATGGGCCACACACATGTCGAACTATTAGCCTTAAAAAGGAAGGACATTCACGGCACTAGCAGTTAGCGTAATGACTATGTCGCTGGACTCCCATGTAGTTGACGGTGGTTCTAGTCCTGGACCCGGTGGCTTAAAACTCACGCCCGATGCGTGTGCGTGTGTGTCCAAGATCCTGAGAGGAGAATGGAGGAGAAGGGATTGCAGCGTGGCCATCCCCCCGGGGGGTGATTTCTCACTTTCTGTCTCTCTGTCTCTGTCTGTCTGGCAAGTGCACGTGCCCTATGGCAAAAACCTCCCCCCCCTAAAAAAAGGAAGGACATTCTGACATAGGCTATGCAGGGGTCAACTTGGAGGCCCTATGCTACGTGAAATAAGCCAGGCACGAAAGGACAGCACTGTGAGAGTCCGCTGATAGAAGGTGTCATGGGGAGAAGTCAAATTCATAGACACAGAAGGAAGAATGGGGGTGGCCGGGATCAGGAGGAAGGGGAAATGGAGAGTTAGTGTTTACACTACAGAGTTTTGACAGTGAAAAACCTCTCCAAAAAAAAAAAAAAAGAATCTGTCAAGGGGCTACAGGAAGCCCCTATATTGGGAGACTAAGTAGTAAGGTTTAGTTTATGACCTTCCAGTGTTCTAAGCCCCATGGAGAAGGGATTATGTCTGTGTGACAATACCTAGTAAGACATGCTAATCCCGGAGCCCAATACACAGTTGTCAGATGAGCGAATGGACGAACACACAAATGTTATGGTTCAGATTACTCTTTATCTAGATACTTCCCTATCAGTAGAGAGTCCGCGTTCCACTGCTTTTTCAAGCCCGGGTGTAATCTGAACCATAACAGAGCAGGGGTAGCTTGTCCCTGGGGGGCCTCATAGGGGCCTGTGGACAAAGGGAGGCTCCTGCCAGTCCTGTTCCAGGGGAGAGACCCCCATACCTTGGGGTAAGGGCTGTCAGTGCATCTTCTTGAGGGATAAAGCTCTGGCCCAAGCCTGGGTCACCTCATTCTCTGCGGTTTCCAGCCAGGGGCAGGATCCTGCTAGAGTCTGCAAGGCCAGC